CTTTGCCCCCCTTCCCCTTCCTCTTCCTTTTCCTCCTCCTCTTCCTCCTCCTCCACTCCACAAACCCAACTCCCTTCTAACACGGACGATGTTCCCTGGCTGGGTCATGAAACGTCTGCAAGAAAACCACCCAGCTCAGGGAGGACCAGGGATCCCCCACCCTAACCCCAACCCTCACCGACAAAGATTCTCCTTTATTGGCAGGACTTATATCGATCAATGTGTTATTGTCTTTCTTGTCTCAGGGGTCACCATGAAGATGCCAACCCTCCGGATGGTCCAGGTCTTGTGCCTGATCGGATTCTTCGCAGGACCTTTGCAGGTATGAACGGAGCTGCTGCGGTGGGAATTTCCACCTCTCCGAATGGGGAGGGGTCGCCGGACAGGCAGGTGGCAGCTCCCCCCCCTCCCTACTTCCTGCTGTTAACAATCCCTTCCTGCTGTGAAGACCTTGGCTCTGCCTGAAACAGGGGAGTGGGTGAAAAAGAAAACCTGCCCTGTGGGTCCCTGGTGAGGCCATCCAACCGAGGCCCAGGCCAGGGAGCGGGTCCCACCGGACAGAGCCACGGAGGCCACAAGGCCCCCCCACCTGGTCACGGTCCCCAAGGGGCTTTTTCCAAAAGGCAACCGAAGTTTGTTTCTCCCTGAAGGTGTCTCGCTTCTCATCCTTCTTCAGTTCTGACTGAACGGTGGAGGATGGAAAGGTTTCTGTTCCCTGCAGTCATCTGGATGTTAGCGCTCTTCCTGAGAATTCTTGAGGCCACGAGGGTCGATCTGTGCCTTCGGGGTCACCTGAATGCTGCAAATGGGTGTGGAGCCTTCTTGGGGACTGCTGAAAGGACCGTGTTGGACCCCCCTTTTAAACCAGCGGTCCTCTCTGTCCAAAATATGAACTAGAATAGAATAGAATAAAATAGAAGAGAAGAGAATAAGAATAGAAGAGAAGAGAATAGAATATAGAAGAGAATGTAGAAGAGAAGAGAAGAGAATATAGAATAGAATAGAAGAAAAGAAAATATAGAATAGAATACAATAGAATAGAAGAGAAGAGAAGGGAAGGGAAGAAAATATAGAATAGAATACAATAGAATAGAAGAGAAGAGAATATAGAAGAGAAGAGAAGAGAAGAGAATATAGAAGAGAAGAGAATATAGAATAGAATAGAATAGAATAGAATAGAATAGAAGAGAAGAGAAGAGAAGAGAAGAGAAGAGAAGAGAAGAGAAGAGAAGAGAAGAGGAGGGGAGGGAAGGGAAGAGAATATAGAATAGAATAGAGTAGAGTAGAGTAGAGTAGAGTAGAGTAGAGTAGAGTAGAGTAGAGTAGAGTAGAGTAGAGTAGAGTAGAATAGAATAGAATAGAATAGAATAGAATAGAATAGAATAGAATAGAATAGAATAGAGCTGGGACTTTGGAGGTCTTCTAGTCCACCACCACTACCCCACCACCCCGCTTAAACAGGACAACCTAAACCATCTCAGAGAGGTGATTGTCCAGTCTCTTCTTTAAAATCTCCAGTGATGGAGCACCACGATTTCTAGTGGCAAGCTGTTCCACTGGTTAAATGTCCTGTCAGGAAGTTTCTCCTTAATTCCAGGTTGCTTTTCTCTTTGGTCAGTTTCCAACCCTTGTTTCTCGTCCTGCCCTCTGGGGCTTTGGAGAATAGTTTGGCCCCCTCTTCTTCTTTGGGGGAGCCCCCCCTCCAAATACTGGAACGCTGCTGTCATGTCTCCCCTGCTTCTTCTTTTCTTTAGACTAGCCAAACCGAAGGCCAGCAGACGATTGTTGTATATTTTAGTCTCCAGGCCTTCGACGGGGTGAGCTCCCATCCTCACCTCAGCTCCTGCCCACCTAGCCGTTGGGAGGCATGCAAATGCGAGTAGATAAATAAGTACCACTTTGGTGGGAGAGTAACAGCAGAGTAAAATCCGCAGGGACTCCACCCTCCCTGTGCTCCTTTGGGGGGGGGGGTTGAAGAAGGCACCTGGGCCAGCCTGGTTTCCCCTGACATTTGGGCTCTTTTCTCTCCTTCCGGTCCTTTCACACCCTCTCTTTTCTCCGACAGGCGTTGTCTCTCCGCATTATTGACCTCGACATGTCTGAGAATTCCGTGGACGATCAGTATATTAACTGCATCCCCCCCAAGGAGATCCCTCCTGAGAGCCAAGATTATCTTCCTGTACCAGACAAATATAATGACACCTGGCAAATGGCCAAAGGGTACTGGGACCAAGTGAACCAATCTATCACCAACCTCACTCCAATGCAAGGTACTGCAATCATGGCTTACACACACCCTGACGAACTGTACGTGGATTTCAATGCCGCTACAAGAGAAGCCGGGGAATCCCAAGACACTTACGATGAATTTGTCTTCAAGGACTTCTTCTTCCTCTTATCCACGGCTGTTCAGGCCAGGAAGATCGAGGGCGAATGTTACGACGTCTTCCGCGGGATAAAAGATATCTGTTTCAAAGTCCACAAGGGAGAGAGTGTCCGCTTCGGCCAGTTTGCTTCTTCATCTACCGATATAGAAATAGCCAAACAATTTGGCGAGACCACCGTCTTCTCCATCAACACTTGTTACGGAGTGCCCATTAACGACATCTCGGCCATCCCAGAAGAAGAAGAAGTTCTCATCCCGCCCTACGAGATGTTCATCGTGACGAGCGAAGAAAATGAGTCCCCCATCAGATTGGAATCCGATGGTGTTCATAGCCGGTTCAACTGTGAGGTCCTACAAGGTAAGAGGCTGGAAGAGAGGAGAACGTGAGGTTCAGAGGACCCCAGGCAGCAGCTCGACCGTATCTGGGGCAGTTGGAGAACCAAGATAGTTCCTGATGGACCAAATGTCTAGGGGGATTCTCAATCATCCAGGTCAAGATTGTTCTTTATGCAACCAGGCTGGGTATTTTTCAGTTTTCTCGTTCTTCTTTTTTAGTGGTATCGAACGAAAGCACTCAGGTCACAGACGACTAAAGGATAAAAATAGAAAATAAATAAATAAACAGTATGAATAAGTATATTGTTTTTGTGTCCACAGGTGCAGGTCGCTAAACTCCAACGGGGAGGCCGTTCCTTCTGCGGGATCTCCTTCTGACCTGGAGCATCCTTGGAAGCCTCGGACCACCCGGCCATCTAGGCAGAAGGCGTCCCTAGGAAGGAGACCAAGTGCGACACGCAAAAAAGCCATTTATTTGGGGAGGGTGCAGTCTTTCTCTTGGGTGCAAGGATCAGGGTTTGGGTACAAGTGATATGGGATGATTGTATCAGAAATCAACAAATCAAGCAATAAAAATCTTTGGTGTGCAACGGAAGCTTTGTTTTGTTACATGGGAGGAAAGACAGACCCACCTCACCGTAGGTTCCATCTGCTCCTTTTCCACCCAGATTTGCATTCTTTCTGGACAATTTGCAGCTTTAACTGGGGAGTTTGGAAGGCATCCCTATTGTTTGGTTGATGAAAAGGCTAGTTTGGGCCAATTCAAAGAAATGGCTCTGACTCAAAAGGAAAAAATAAATAGTGTGAATGGAACCCACTCCCCAGAATAAAATATTAATCCATGGATGATCTCCCAAAAGGGAAGAAAAGATAATCCCCTTAATGATAGGCAGGAAACCTCAGCCAACTTTCCTCCGCCATGACAACCCATAGACATCTTTAAGGAAAAATAGTTTCATTCAAAAGATACAGTGTTGCCTATACACCTATGCTTACATTTCCCTTAACCCGAAGGAGCAGCCACAACATCATACATAACGAACGGAAAATCTATAATGGCAATTAGAGTATTGTGAAAAATAAAAAAGGACTCAGAAACACATAAAAACTCACTCAACAACAAACACAATTTGCTAGCTGCCCCTAAAAACACTCCTGTTGCTGTTACTGGGAAATAAGGGAATCTCCTTTTCATAAGCAGCTTGCCTTGGGTCTTGATTTTCGCTCACTGCTTCTCTCCCAGCATGGGAGAAAGAATGGACCCAAACCGATTCTCTCAACAATTTGGCAACCACAAAGGGACTCCAAAGTTAAGCTGACCAAAGGATCAGGCCTGGGTAAGCCTCTGTAACAGAATTACAGAGTAACAGAATTACAGAGTAACAGAATTACAGAATAACAGAATTACAGAGTAACAGAATTACAGAATTACAGAATAACACAAGTAGGAAGGGAGCTTGGAGGTCTTCTAGTCCAACCCTTTTTCAGGCAGGAGACCCTGTAGCATTGTGAAAAAAATGGCTGTCTGAAGGGTGACATGATAGCAGTCTTGCAGTACGTTTGGGGGCTATCCTAGGGAGAACATGGTGAACTTTTTCTCCAAAGCTCCTGAAGGCAAGAGAACAAGTAACATGTGGAGGCTGGTCAAAGAGAGAAGCAACCTGGAACTAAAGAGAAACTTCCTGACAGTGAGAACAATTAGCCAGTGGAACAGCTTGCCATCAGAAATTGTGGGTGCTCCACCATTGGAGGTCTTCAAGAAAATATCAAATAGTCGTTTTTCCAAAATGGTATATGGTCTCCTGCTTGAGCAAGGGGTGGGACTAGAAGACCTCCAAGGTCCCTTCCAATTCTATAATTTTGTAAGGGTCTCCTGTTTGAGCAGGGGGTGGGACGAGAAGAGCTCCAAGGTTCCTTCCAACTTGGTTATTCTGTAGTTCTTTAATTCTGCTCCCCTCCACGGGGGCTCCTTCTGAGGAAAGTGAGCCATGGAGGAAAGGTATGCTTGCTTCCCCAACTCTGTGATTCTGTTACTGTCATATCTGGCCTGACTTGGGTTCTTAGGAAAGAAAGACCCTCAACTCCACCTGAGGGAAAGGAATATTTTTACTAAAAGCCAAGTGGTTACAGTACAGCTGTACTGAATCTCCCCACTGTCCAATTACATTCAAAGGAATTGCTGTTGGTAACGGTCCCTGCCTTGGCGGGCTAGATTGTTAGCCCATGTATTCCCCTCACAGGTCTCAGCAGTTCGGATGATGAACCGACGTCTTGGCAAGACACGAAGAGTACTTTCGCTTTCCCCCTTCCTGGCAACTCCTTCCATCACCACTCCCAGCCCCCCATAGTCTGTGGCAGGCAGGCATCTAGCAAAGCAAGACTGAAGCTCAGGATGGCAATTTCGACAGCTACTCTGATGAAGAGTCCAAGGCTGTATCGGACCAAGGACTCGACTTTTCCCCGCTTTTGTTGGAGGAAAAAAAGTCCAAGCAACAAGGACAGCCCTCCTCCTCCCTCCAGCTCTGACTGATACTTTTAGGAGGGTGTCACATCTTTCAGTTGAAGTGGACAAAGGCTTCCCCATTGCAGAAGCTCCTTCTTGTTCAAGCAAGGCCCGGGCATAGCTACGGGAGTTGATTTGTCCCATGGGAATTGCATCCTGAATCTCTTCCTTCCCAGGGATCAAGAGGCCCTCTCCAGTCACACAACCCCCCCACACACAGCTGCTCCATTCCTCTTTGTGGGCTGAGGATGGGTGGGAAATCAAACACGGGTGTTACATCAAATTTTAGGTTTTATTATTAGCCTCTTAGCATGGCGCCTACGCCTCCATTTGAAGATCAGGAAACAATTGTTCAGAGAATTGGTTCTGGGGCCCAGGACAGGATCCAGCTTCAGTGGAACAAGAGGATTTTCCCTTTTCCTCACACACACACACACACACACACACACACACACACACACACACACACTGCCCGCAGTTCTCTGGGTGTTGAATATCAAAAACTGGAGGTACTTGCCTCCTTTCCCAGCAGCCATTGAGCACAAGACTAAAAATAGCCTTACTACCTTTTCTCCAAATGGGAAAGGTCCGGAAAACCCACCCACAGACAAAAGGGGTCTGTCTTCAGCAAAGTGAAGGCTGACCCGGGACTGATCCTTTGGTCAGCTTAACTTTGGAGTCCCTTTGTGGTTGCCAAATTGTTGAGAGAATTGGTTCGGGTCTGTTCTTTCTCCGATGCTGGGAGAGAAGCGGTGAGGGAAAATCAAGACCCAAGGCAAGCTGCTTATGAAAAGGAGGTTCCCTTTATTTCCCAATAACAGCAACAACGCTGATCTTGGGGGGAAGCTAGCAAATTGTGTTTGTTGGTGAGAGAGTTTTTATATGTTTCTGAGTTCTTTGTTATCGATGTATGAATATCTGTTCTTTTCACAATACTCTAATTGTCGTTATAGATTTTCCTTTTGTTGTGTATGATGTTGTGGCTGCTTCTTGGGGCTAAGGGAAATGTAAGTATAGGTGTTTTTATTTTTATAATTTGGCCCTGGGCTTCGTAATCAGTTTCAGTCCTTTATGTAGTCAGCCTATCTTTTCTGAGATTTCTTTGTTAAGCAGAATTTTCTGAATGGGAATCCAGTTTTATGAATGGGCAACATTGTATCTTTTGAATGAAACTATGTTTCCCTAAATGATGTCTATGGGCTGTCTTGGTGGAGGAAGGACGGCTTAGGTTTCCTACCTATCCTTAAGAGAATTATCTTTTCTTCTCTTTTGGGAGATCATCCATGGATTAATATTTCATTCTGGGGAGTAGATTCCATTTACACTATTTTTTTCCTTTTGAGTCAGAGCCATTTCTTTCAGTGGGCCCAAACTAGCCTTTTCATCAACCAAACAATAGGGCTGCCTTCCAAACTCCCCAGTTAAAGCTGCAAATTGTCCAGAAAGAATGCAAATCTGGGTGGCAAAGGAGCAGATGGAACCTACGGTAAGGTGGGTCTGTCTTTCCTCCCATGTAACAAAACAAAGCTTCCGTTGCACACCAAAGATTTTTATTGCTTGATTTGTTGCTTTCCAATACAATCATCCCATATCACTTGTACCCAAACCCTGATCCTTGCACCCAAGAGAAAGACTGCACCCTCCCCAAATAAATGGCTTTTTTGCGTGTCGCACTTGGTCTCCTTCCTAGGGACGCCTTCTGCCTAGATGGCCGGGTGGTCTGAGGCTTCCAAGGGTGCTCCAGGTCAGAAGGAGACCCCGCAGAAGGAACGGCCTCCCCGTTGGAGTTTAGCGACCTGCACCTGTGGAGACAAAAACAATATACTTATTCATACTGTTTATTTATTTATTTTCTATTTTTATCCTTTAGTCGTTCGTGACTTGAATGCTTTCGTTCGATACCACTAAAAAAGAAGAACGAGAAAACTGAAAAATACCCAGCCTGGTTGCATAAAGAACAACCTTGACCTGGATGATTGAGAATCCCCCTAGACATTTGGTCCATCAGGAATTATCTTGGTTCTCCAACAGCCCCAGATACAGTCGAGTTGCTCCCTGGGGTCCTCTGAACCTCACGTTCTCCTCTCTCCCAGCCTCTTACCTCTCAGGCGCTCACAGTTGAACCGGCTATGAACACCTTTGGATTCCAATCTGATGGGGGACACGTTTTCTTTGCTCTTCACGACGAACTTCTCGTAGGGCGGGATGAGAACTTCCTTTTCGCCTTTGAAGGACGAGATGTCGTCAATGGGCACTCCGTAACAGGTCCTGATGGAGAAGAAGGTGTCCTGGCCAAACCCTTTGGCTACTTGTTTGCTCAAAGATGAGGAAGTAAACTGGCCGAAGCGGACCTGCTTTCCCTTGCTGACTTTGAAATGGATCCCTTGTACCCCGCGGAAGACCTCGTAACATTTGTTCTTTTTCTTCCTGGCCTGAACACCCTTGGTTAGGAGGAAGAAAAAGTCCTTGAAGGCAAATTGATTGTAAGTGTCTTGGGAACTCCCGGCTACTCTTGTAGCGGCGTTGAAATCCCTGTATAGGTTGTCAGCAAGGGTGTAAGCCACGATTGCAGTACCTTGCATTGGAGTGAGGTCGGTGATAGATCTGCCAACTTCGGCCCAGTGCCTTTTGGCCTTTTGCCAGGTTGTTTTATAATTTGTCGGTACAGGGATATATCTTGAGCTCTCAGGAGGAAGCACCTTCGGGGGTTTGCAATTAATATACTGGTCATCCACGGACTTCTCGAACATGTTG